CTTTTGGGTTGTTTTTTTTGAGATTTGATAGTTTGTTTAGTAACAAATTTTGTTCCTCTCTTTTTTTCTTTTTAATAAATCGTTTGAATTTTTTCTTTTTACTGTAATATGTCTCACGAAGGTTGTTATCATATGGAAACTTGCTCAGCAACTTAGCTGTTTTTATGAGATCATTTTTTATTGTTTGACATTCTTTATCAAACCACTTTTTCTTTCTTTTCTTTGACTGTGGTTTACACATTTGTTTAATATTGGTGTTGCTGAAGTATCTATTATCGAGTTAAATGCTTTAACTGCTTCATTAACCCCATCATTATTTTTTTCATATTTTCTCTCTAGAAATAAATTAATTTTTTGTTGTACCCTGTCTGAGGCCAATGTATCTTGATATGTGAAGGTGTACAATAGATTCCATTTCCATGTTTTGGGTAGACAGTATAATTGTTCGTTGTTTGTGTCCTTATCTAATGATAAATAATCTAATGATGTAATGATATAATTATTCATTAGGAAACACGTTTAATTTTAGAGTTGAACTGTCAGAAGAAATTTAAAATTGGCGTTTGGAACAATTAAAAGCATTAATTCACAAAAAATAAAAAGCATTCATCAGAATATATCAATAATTCAATACTGTTAAGCCAGTACCATTTACATTGTCGTTTCTGTACAAATAATATCTAGCCACGCTGTATGATGTGGATTGGCGTGGACGGGTTTCACGGTCTCTACACGTGACTGAATAAACTCGGCCATTATACAAGACTGATGAATTAAGTACCTGGATACATGTAAACATTTATTTGGATTTTAAACTACTGTCTGACTGACTGAACTCTTCGAACTACTGACAATCGTTTTATTGTAAAGTCAATCAATTATCAATAAATATTTACATCATATCACTAAAGCACTATCAACCAAAACAAAATAAGGCAAACAAACTACTAGTATATCAAGCTTTGTTAATTTGAGAAAGGTGTTTGACGGTGTCTGTACTGAAATTTAGTATGAATAGTAACATGTACAAAATCATTAAAATATTAATGGAGAAGTCTCATAACAAGTGAAACCCAATGTTTCTTATTATCAAACTCGGGTGAAGAAAGTCCAGCACTATAATAGATTTTACAAATGATCTTCCAGGTATTCTTTTTGTCAATGGGCTGACTTCTATATTTCTCTAAGCAGACACGATTACTACTTAGTCGTGATGCAGACGATCACAATGAAGGCTTGCAGACTCAATAAACCTTTCGAGTACACTAATAACTGGAAATTGACTGTACACACAGATACAAGGAAACTAACTCTGAGTTGTACTGAGCTTCAATGGAAAGTGAAAAGAAATGCTGATTAAAGGGCGGTAGACGTCGCGTCACGCATGCCCGGGATATAGGTCTCATATAAACAAAGATGACGACTGTTGTGCAGACCACAGTCCCTGGTGTGGAGATACTGTACGCAGACCAACGAGTACAAACAGAGAGGATACCAGGCTTTAACTAGAATTTTTTTCTGGTTATTGGAAGGTATCGAAGGAGACCAAAAGGCCATATTCTCAAATAAGGACAGTATACTATAACCAAAGACACTAGAGAAGACGCGGGATACCGAATATCTGTTTGCATAGCAGTGCCGTCCCCCAAGAGATGTTGCACGTAACTTTCTTTCGTTACTTTCCTTTCATGTTTGCCGCAGTTGCATGTCTCTCTTCTCTATTGTCCTTGCTATAACCATGGACGTACTAGTACGTCCATGCTATAACATATAAGCAAAATGTAAAAATAGCCAATATTAGTTTAGTGGAGCGATATCTGGGGAGATGAAAGTAATTACAAATCTGCCGGCTTATATTTGGGGTCTCAAACATTACTCCCAAAATGGGCATTTTACGAGAACATGGTAGATAATTATTTTCCTTAAAAGATTCGGCCAATACTAGTTTAGTGGAGCGATATCTGGGGAGATGAAAGTAATTACAAATCTGCCGGCTTATATTTGGCATCTCAAACATTACTCCCAAAATGAGCATTTACGAGAACATGGTAAATAAACATTTTCTTCAAAAGAAAAATACTCAAATATTACAATCGCATAACGAACACAAATAACACATTTCTTAAGGTTCGTTGGCACTCGAAGTGATTTCTTATGGGAGGGCCAAAAAGCGCCCTTAACGTTGATTTTTTTGGGTCCATTTTTCAACTGGCTGCGGAGCACTCTCACCCAAAATGAAGGTGAACATTCCACAAGCGCTGTCTCCAAACAAGTGGAAAGAAGATATACATTCACCAGTGATTTCATTTCGAATTTAGCTTGCCCCCGTTTGTGAGTTTGCCTGCTAACATGCTAAACATATGTATTAGTCATGCCTGAAGTAACGTTGCTGGAACATTTCTTTAATCACAGTCCCTCTATCAGTCCTGATAGAGGGACTGTAAAGACACATGAACAAATCAAACATATTTGTTTTTACAAAATTATATTATAATTTATCATAAACTATAAATCTTGTGTTTTTTTGCAGCACACTGTCAGCTCAAACCAATAGTGTTTTGTCAATTTAAACTGAAAAACACCAATACAATTGTGTGGTGCAATTAAAAAACAAACAAACAAACTGTTGTTATTCATAAACACACATCCCATGATGCAATGCATATTAGAGAATTTTATTGTTTCATTGAAATGAATACTGTAGTTGTGTGCTACAAAAACAGATTCACCATACACCATAAAACATTATCCAACAGATTCATCAACATAAATAAAATAAAACATATTTCATTCAAAGTATCAAAGTAATGATTTAGTGTTTTAAAAGTGCTCAAATTTGTTTATGTATATAAAATGATGTTTTCACAATTCCATTTGAATCCAGAATGGAATTCTTGGTGGGATTGTCCCAAAGGGCATAGAAAACATTTGTGGTAACCTGTTCCAGCCAGTATTTCTTCGAAATAGCATTTATTACCGGGACTCTATGATTTTGAATTTCAACTTGTATGTTTCTCATTTTTTTAAGTGGGCCCATATACAAAACATGCGCAACCAGCTGTAATATGTGGCCCGTCAGATCTGTAGACATTGCTCCCCTAATTCTCTCGTCACAGAATACGGATATTCTAGACATAAGTGAAGTAAATATTGTAATTCGTTGCAGGCATAAAGTATGACCTGAAATTTGTACAGTGTGAATTTGGAAAAAATGGATTGTTCAAAAATCTGCATATTTCCTCTGGCAAATACTTTTTACACCATTACGCCCATCACTGTCAGGGCTTTAATTCACATGAAAGCAACATTCACTTACATCAATACATACTTTTTTTTCCTATTTTTACATAAACACAATGATTCATCTAGGAAATAAATTCCCAAAGTTTATAGGCTCAATTTTATGTCGTTTATGAGGATTCACAAAATGAGATTGGCCAATAAACAACTTACTATAATAATACAGTTTTATTACACCGTAATGAAATTACAAATTCATTTTTGGCTGAAAGTAATAGGAGGTAAGGTAAAAAGGTAAGTAAAAAACAGAACTGCATGTATATTATACAGCAAAATTAAGAAATTATCAGTTGCTAAGGAAGGGCCATCATGGTAATCATTTTAGGTATGAAGCAGATAACAGTTGCGTAATAAACTATTATTATTATAATCAGTATATGTTCCCACAGAGAGTGTGATTGTGGTTTGTGTAGAACGTTCAGGCAGCAAAGCCAAGTTTCGGTCCAAATTATCTATCGAGGCAGCGATCAAGTTTTTTTTTGGCACTTGCTGAGACTCAGAAACTTTTGTGTATGTGCCAAAAATCGTGAATCTCCAATGTGAAGTCCACTAATATCCATCAAGCTTCCCAGCACATGAACAAGATCATTCAAAAACGAACTTCAATTAAAAATTCATACAAAACTGGTTTATTAAATAAAATGTTACATTTTATAAAGGTAATTTTCAATTCATAGTTTTTTCGGTATGATTGGTTGACATGTGCCATCATAGGTTTAAGGTGACAAGTCCAAATCACCACAGCTGTTATAATGTCAAGTCAAGATTAAAAACTGATAAGGTGAAGACTTCACGTGATAGTCAGACATCATAGCAAGCTTTGTTTCAAGTCCTGATGTAGAATACAGTATGTCAACATAATAATTATCTTCAAATTCACCAAAGTATTCATGTAAATGTCATGTTCACTGTTCTACTGTGTCTTCTTTTGCCTGAAAGAAACGTATGTTACACAAGTGACATGTGCAATCCAACATAGCACACAGTGGCTATACAGTGGTTGTTATTAATTAAGTCGTCAACAACAAATGATCACAGCACCAGATTCCAGAGAGCCAGAATTCAATTGCCCATATGTTAGGACATTTTGGGTTTTTGTATTCCAACCCTCAACAAAACTACAGCATTTTATTTTAAATGCTTCACACAAAAACAATATTGCTTACTTTTAGTGATGCAGTTTCTCTTCTGAGTTCTCTTATGACAGACGCCAAAGCTTCTGGGTTTACACCTTGCTCCACAAGGCGTACACAAATAGTCAACGTTTCTGAATCCAGACCTGTGTTCAACAATCGAGATATCTCCAGTAGTGCTGTGAACAAATATAGAGAGATATTGTACAGAAGAACATTTCTAATAGATAATTTCACAATAATAGGTTCACAACGATCATACCAATCTTAAACATGATTCCTGAAAGAACAACAAACAAAATATATATTATATTACATCAAAAAATTATTATTATTCTGATGTTCTGCTTAATGAACAGTGACCCTGCTTTGGGACTTTTGTCTGTTGAATACTAGAAGTCTGATATTTTTTAATATTTCTGGTTTGTATATGCTGCTTAATGTTACCATGGAAAAGATTTTCGAATTTGGTGGCCGTATTAGTTGATGTGCAACTCATAGAAAACACACTACCGGGAAGTCATGAAACATTTGCCCCTCTTGAGAACAACTGTTATTTAGTTAGAGCTAGGGGGACTTAATGAACTTTTAACATGTGCCCACCCGATGTTGGACAATCGTGGGTGTCAAAGCTATAGCATGGGCGGATACAGGATTTTTTTATCCGCCATTGTACAAGTTAAGACTGTATGACTATAAACAAATCATGTCAACCAGGCATGTCAAGTCAAGCTCCCGGGTCCAGTCCAGGTAGAGTTGCGTCTTTTAACAGTAAACAGCATCCAAGAGTCAGTATGTAATATAGTTCATAATAAAGTATTTGTTATATACATTATATTGGGTTAGTTTACTTACTGTCCATGGTTTCCCGTGCGGCCGTCGTCGACGACGAACTGTCACGATTCGCCATTTTCAAAGTTCACCTGAAGGTGCGCCCTCCATATAGTTCTCGCCGAGAGGAAGCTTGAGGGCAGTGCAGGAATTTCCCGCGATATTCAGATCCGGGATTCTGATTCAGAAAAAGCTTTTCTTAGTTATTTATCTCTGTGAAATTTCAGGATGCAGCGAGCGACGAGAATGAAACGAGAAGTACAGCTGCTTGAACAGGAACCTCCACACGGTATTTCCTGTTGGTTAAAGAAAGATAAAATTGATGAGCTTGAAGCACGTAAGTTGAATGTTTGATTGTCTCGGACCGACAAATGGAGAGAGCTGGGGAGGATTACGATGCTCAGTTATTGGATAACATACATACGGGACTGTGTTATACATAACCGTACATTGACTATGACGCCCATTAAACGCAAATGTGTGTTATAAGTTATTCCAGTCATATTTTGATGATCATCATTTTTAAAAAATTTTTAAAAAAAATTATACATTTTAAGTCAAGTTTTTCAAATACAATTTTTTTTTCAAGAAGGCGTAAGTGTTTGAAATCCATAAACCTGTAGGAAATCTTTATAAGGGATGCTCCTTGCTATAAATCAAATTGAAAAGGGGGCACGGATCTAGAAGCCGTACCTACACACGAATTGGTGACGTCACAAAATACATGACCTTCAATCGGGGTCGTTTCCTCGGTATATACGAATTGGTATATACAAATTACAATAAAGATTACACATAAGGTAAAACAAATCATGTGACAATATAATGATAATAACGGTAATAAATCCTAGCTTAACAGTTGAACAGAACGATCATATAGTCAGTCGGGTGACGCCGAGGGTCACGCACTTGTTGCAAAATGGCCGTGTGGTTGAAACTGGGTCATGGCGTGACGGGCAAGGAA